GAAATGACTTTATGAACAAATCCTCAGTAGCACTGGATCTGGCACAAAGAATCAACAATTGGGATCTCATCTTTTTAAAAAGCTTCTGCACTACAAGAGAAATCACCAACAAAGCTAAGGGACAACCTGCAAAGTGGAAAAAAACTAGCAGCTGTTCTTCAAAGGTCTACTGTCAAGAATATATAAAGAACTCAAACAATCAGACCCCCCCAAAATATAAAGACCCAATTCAAAAGTGGGCATCTGAAATGAACAGACATTTCTTAAAACAAATAAGTAAAAACAGCAAACATATGAAAAAATGTTCAACATCATTGGTCATTTGAGAGATGCAGATGAAAATAACACTGTGATTACACCTCATTCCAGAAAGAATGGCTGCTATCAAGAAATCAATAGCAAATGCTGGTGGGGTTGTGGGGAGAAAGGAACCCTTCTCCATTGCTAGTAGGAGTGAAGACTGGTGCAACCCCTGTGGAAGTCAATATGGAGATACCTTAACGAACTAGGATTAGAGGTTCCATTTGACCCATCTATCCATCTGCTGGGTATCTTTCCAAAAGAATTAAAATAATCATACCTCAGTGACATAAGCTCACCCATGTTTATCATGGCACAGTTTGTAATAGCTAAAACTTGAAAACAGCCTAATTGCCCATCAATTGGAGCTAGATAAAGATGTGGTTTGTCTATAAAATGGAGTACTACTCAGCCATAAAGAATGCGAAACTAGAGTCATTTATAGGAAAATAGATGCATATTGAGGCCACACACTTAAGTGAAATAAACAAGACACACACGTGTAAATACTGAATAGTTTCTCTAGTGTGAAAAACTAAAAGTGTAAATAAGATCCAAATTATATAACTGATAATGTGAAATAGGAAGAAAAGGGCTAAAGGGGTAGGGGAAGTGGGAAATAAGGGAAAAGAAAAAATATGAGAAAAGGAAAAAGTGGAAACAAAGTCTTTGTGAATAGTGATGGTGGGAGGGTGAAGGGAGTACAGGGGGATGGGGAAAAAGTGAGAACCAAGATTTGTCATTGTAAAGGTCCAAGAACCCAATGATGCATGTGACTGTAGTGTATACCTAAAAACTACCAACAAACTCAGTGAAAAAAGAATTATATTTAAGACAAAGGGAAAGAATACAATCAACTACAAATGAGGAGCCAATCAAGTATCTAACCAGCCAGGGGAATGGGGAAAAAATAACAACCAAGATGGATTACATAAATTGCAAATTTCCAGTGATGAATATCATTGTATTGTATACCTTCAATGTACCAACAAAATCAATTTTAAAAATTATCTAACCACTTCTGTTGTAGCACCAAAGATTAACTTTTCCTAATGGGTTGCTCATCTCCAGGGGATGTGTAGAACCCGGTCACCTACAGGTCAAATGGCTTTATGTCCATAGTGATATGGGAGCCAACAGTAGGATATGAATCTCGCATAATATAACCAGGAATGTCCACCATAACATCCAAACTGCTAGCGAATGGAACTGAGGCACGGAAGTAATTTAAGCAGAAAGAGGTTTGGGGCTAGGAATTTCCTCCTGAAGCAAAGGAATGTGGTAGAAACAGACATGGACATGGAACTATAGCTGTTGGAGAGCAGAAGTTTTAAGAAGAGATTTTTAGGCAGCAATGATAAAAAGAACTTCTGTAAATAGTCTAAAACCTACAAAATGTTAAGGAAATACAGAATAACTGCTGCCTTTCACTTCTGTAATTTGCTTTGCTTTGCTTGTTTCTTAGGACAACAATACCAGAGGTTTCATCATTAACTACAAATTTGAAGGCTAGTAGCCCAAGTTTAAAATGTTATAAGATTAACAGATGCTGGAGGTGCTTTGCTGCATCCCCAGGGTGAGACTAGATGCTCAAACTAAGATAACAATCCCCATACCTTACAAAGTACATTTAAACCCTAAAATCCTAAACTTTCTGTAAATCATATGACTATAAAAGAGTTAAGATGAAAGGAATGTCACCAGTCCTGTTTTCCTAATCCTGACCCACTCTTATGGGGTAGAACAGCTAATTAGGTGAATCCTAAAGATAAACATCCTAACCACAAAGAACGTGCTACATTTGGTTTAAAATAAAACTGTGCTGTGAACATGATTTGTGATGGGAACTGAGAGAACGACAATGTCTTATTAAAGTATCTAAAATAAAGAGGTCATGATTGTAAAACTCCCATAAAAAGCAGATTGTAACAGCCCAGGGTCACTCATTTAACACAGCCCTTGGTGCAGGCCAACCCTTGCTAGGAAAGTAAACATTTTTTGTTTTACTCACTCTTGCATCTCTGTGTGTCATTTATCAGTTCTTTGCACAACAGAAACAGTAATGACTGAATCACCAAGTCCTTCTCCAAAGTAAATTGCAGAAAATACTAGAGCAAGGGAAGGTAACTCTTATACCCCTGCATTCCCAATCAAGAATTTTAAAAGTAAAGCATTGTTCCTAAAAAGAAAGAATTAGTGGACACAGGACAAGTTGTACAAAGCCATGCAGCCTGGGCTTTGGATAACTAGATACTAAAATCGAGACGTTTGCAAAGGTATTCCAGGATAGGAAGAACCTGAACTACAGGGTAAATGTGCTACATAGCATTCTGTAACTGACAGTCAAATAGTATGAAAATCAGATTTAGAGTTTAGGCATGGGACTGAATGGAATGGAAAACAAAAGCTTTATTGTGCTTAAATGATGGCAAAGTTTTGGCAGATTAGAAACTGCTAGTGAAGCATTAGTTGAACTGCTCACCCACCCCAGATGTAAATTAACAACATGAAATACTACCTACTCTACCTCCACCAGCATCACTAATTTCAGAATACTTATAGAAGTGTAAAATTGCATGATGTGAACTACAATTATGTCATTCTCCTGTGGTGATTATTTTTTCAAATTTATCTTTTCTGTAAGGTTTCAGAAAAAGAGAGACATTTGTAGGTCTTGAACACATGGGGTCAAGTGATCCTCCAGCCTCAGCCTCCCAAATGAATGAGATTAAAAGCATGCACTGCCTTACCCTACTCAGTTAATCTTAGGAAATCTCTTTTTGCAAGGATTTTTTTTCTTCTGCTAGTTTTTAAGTAGTAGGTTTAGCTCAAAAAGCCCCTTCACCTTCACGGTGATAGGGTGTTTGGCAGGGGAGAGGACAATGGAGCTGCTTTTAGGTTTCTCCTTTTATCTATGCAACCGATTGTTCAAGTTTATTTTACTTTTTAGGCGATTAGTTTTAAAAGTGCTTCATTCATAAATTCTGAGGAAGAAAGAGATTATTCTAAATCACGGAATTTAGGCAGGAGACAGCTACAAGAGATGATTCAGGAGTGGATAGTACCCTCTAGTGGACAATTTTAGAACTAGCATGGTCTCTGGTGGTTGAATCTGCCTATAGATAACCCAAAACCGGTGTTATGAGTTGAAAGGCTCATGTCTTCTTTTTGTGCTGTGCTTTTGTTTTGCTTTAGAGACAGGGTCTCGCTATGCAGTTCAGGCTTGCCTTGAACTCACTATGTAGCTCAGGCTGGTCTCTAACTCATGGTGATCCTCCTACCTCAGCCAGTTGAGTGAGTGCTGGGATTACAGGTATGCCACCACCATTTTCAGTTTAGCTTATGTCATTTATTGGATACTGCACTGAAAGTGAAAACCACACTGGCTGCCTCCATAGGTATGCTTGCGCACCTTCATAAAAATTTTTAAAAAAGTGTGAAGTTGAAAAATCACAAGTTGAATCCTGTTAAGTCAAGCACTGGCTGTGTTTCTGCCTATGACCTACTTGCTTCCCATGGGATGCAAGGTTGTAAGGGCAGGGATTTCTGTCAGTGTAGGTCATAGTAGTGTTTGCAGTGCCTAGCAGTTTCTGGCACACAGTCAGTGCTCAATACAGTCTTTCCGAGCGCCTGACTGTGTAAACACTGTGACACAGCAGACACTCAGTAAGTGCTTGCTGGGTGAATGCACATATCATCACATAAATGAGTGGGTGGACCCTGATCTGCTGGCTCCTCAGGCCCTCAGCACGACACAAGGCTGAGGTGGAGTGAATGTGGGCCAGGGACAGCACTGGGCTGGCAGGACCCTACTTTTTTGCTTTTTTGTTTCCGCTTCCAGATGATAACTGTAAGACTTGAATAGGCTAAAGTGACTCCATGCTAATAGGCCAGACTGTGCTTCTTCATACGCTAATTGCTACCTTGGTTAACAGCCCGCCCAGGGGCAAATGGTTTGACAAAAGGTGACCGTAGAACATTTCCTGCATAAGATAAGCAATGTGTTTGCAGTCTTGTTCTGTGAATTCCCTGACTCTTTGTTTACTAAAACCTTATAAAAAGTACCTCAGCCCCTGAGCAGTTGCCTCTCTGAGCCACCTGGCTCCGGGAGTGCCGTCTGGCCAGACTAATAAAGGTCTTTTACCATCTAGCCTGGTGTGTTCCTTCCTGGGTTTCTCGGTTCTCTGTCGTGTTCCCGGAGCCTCGCTGGGTGTTAGGGCCCAGCCTCGTGGAGGCCTTTCGGCTGTCCACGCTCCGTGGAGTGGAAGTGAGACTTTAGGTCTTACAATAACCGTTCTGCTGGTGTACGTGGAAGCATCAGGCTCTCGTCGCAGGTAAAGTTGAATTGAAGCCCTGGTTCGCTGTGGCTTCCAGGGCTCGAGGCTCATCCTCAAGGTCCTCCACGCTGCGGACGATGCTGTTGCTCTGGTCATGAGCACGGCCTGGCTCAGGGCCCGGAAACGCTGTTCCAACAGCTGGCCTCGCGCGTCTGGTTCTGCTGGGGGGCGCCTGGAGTGGGCGTCCTCGCGCAGCAGTTGGCTGCGCCGGCGGATATCCTGCGGGAACATCGGTGCCCCGTACGCGCTGTATCTCGCGCCACTGTGCGCTCCGCACACACTAAGCGCGGTTAGGTCAAGAGAGACCGCTCAGCTCAGTCGGCTGAGCCCAGGAAAGCGTCAGGCAGCAGACCGGAAGCGGCCATGCGGATGAGGCGTCCCTTTCCGTGAAGGAAGCGGTTGCCGCCGCCGCACGCCGTGCGCATGCGCGGAGACGTGGGCGCTGGCGGA